CAGTAATGATTTGTCACTTGAGAGGTGTCAGAATTCCTCCCTGAATTCATGTTTTACCAGTCAATCAGTGACACTTCTGCCACAAGAATATTTCTCTTACTTCTTAACAGAACTTGTCACTGGCAAGTTACATCTTTAAACCATCTTGTGTGTATTTTAACATTGTAAGTGAAAAAGTAGTCATTTACTTCACAGTGTTCACTTTGAATGACTTAAGCATCACAATAAAGGATTTACAAAAAACATGTGTTTTATTGCCCACAAAATCGGAGTATTTTTCCCCTGGGAGCAGAGGATGATGGACTGAGGGATGCTTTTGACAGCTGTATGTGCTGAATCGCTCTTCAGAGGAGCCAGGTCTATGCATCGACTCTAGAGGGAAGCAAAGCCAAACAGGCTTCCCAGTTAGCCTTTTCCCTTGGATCCCCGTGTTTGGGTGGGACGGATACAGCCCTGCTGCACGCTCTGCCCTTCCATTCCCCCTTTCTGTTTAAAGGTCGCAGGAATTCTGCCCTCCCAGGAGTGTCCTAAATTAAATTTCTTACAGCATGATGGGGTGAAAATTCCAAAAATGTAGATAGTCATAAGCATGAGCTCCAGCAAAGGCTGTTTTGAAATGTTTCACGCTTATTTTCCCAAATCCAGGACCGCCCCCTCCTGGCGGTCCGGGCGAGCTGCCCGGGCCGGGCCAAAGCGCTCAAAGAGCGCCGGGGCATTTCTGCCTACCCGGGATGCACCGAACGCTGAGACCTCCCTGCCGAATCTCCATGGCTCCCCTTACAGACATACTGAGTTTTAGAATTAAATGCCGGTGGAGGCAGAAACACACCGCGAGTGACAAAATGAATTGTTTAATCTGCCTGCTTGGTAGCAGATAAACGGCAAATCAGATTTTATCTCTTCTTAGTGAAGTGGAAATTATGGGGATGAACAAACTCCTAAAAATAACAGAATAGCTAAAAGCTCTGCTTTCTCTAGAGCAAATGTAGCCCTTTGGGAAAGTGCAACAAATACCATCTGTGTTTCCAAAACTCCAAAGTTAATTTGTTGCAGACATCCCCGTATTTACTGAAAATGGACATATTTTGTGTAGCAGAACAACATCTTGCAGTGATGAAACATAACCCAAATACTCCCATCCAATTAACTCTAAAGGGGGATTTACCTGAAAAAGCTCAATTTGAAAGATCATTTTGTTTAAATCAGCCATCAAACCTATCTGTTGGGGGTTTTAAAGTTAGTTTCATACACATACTGACAGCTGCTCACGGAGGAAGCTGAGAGGGGAAACTGTGAAGGAGTTACGACATTTATGACAGATATCTTCTTCAAATTATCAGACAAGAAGCGTAACTTACAAATAGCTAACACCTTGGTGAGATTTCTTCAGAATGGACAACTCTACAGGCTTTCCTGACAATCTGTTCTTTTCACCGTCACTTTCAAGCACTTCTGCTGCTTGTAGTTCATGTTTAGTGTAAGGGAGAATTTAAAAGATATGCTTTTGCATCAAAATGTTTAACTGGAATTAAAATAATTGAGTATAATTTTGAGACTGGAATTAAAAGAATTCAGAATATAATTTTGAGATGATGTAAATGAGTGTTTGCTTTAAAACAGCGTATCTGATGGGAAGCCAAGGGAACCCAGCACAGTAATTCAGCTGACAGCAGCTAAGCATCTTTGTTTTAAACTATGGCTGGAATTGGGCCATGAAATACAGAATACAGATGGAAATGTGGATCTGAATTTCTCCAGTGTTTAGTGTGCAGTTTGGGTCTGTTGCAAAGACAAGTTTGGAGCTAGATTTTAATCTAACTTTTTTGAAGCATAGTGGGTCCCCAAATGTTACCCTGCAAAATTCAAAAAGGGAGGCAGCACATGGAAAGCTGAGGCACTGTGGTGCTGTGATTTTATATTTCACTGCAAATATTTAATATGTCTGTTTTTATCTCTACTGCTTGGACTCTGAATGACTGAGAGCTCATTCAAGTATCAACTGCTCCTGTGGCAGAAAAAATCCCCTTGAAGAGTTGTTACTTCACTTTTTTCCCCATACAATTGGGTTATGAGGATGCAGAAAATGTGGAGTCATTTGGGCAAGCAATGATGCAAACACAAAGAAGCAAGCCCTGCAAGGCAGTGCCGTGGCAGAAGGGATGACAAAGCCAGGCACTGTCACTGCTGAGACGGGTTCAGTGCAGAAAAATGTTTCTGGAATGCATATGTGAGTCCTTGTCCCTGGCTCTTTGTGAGCTTAAATCAATACTCCCAATAAGCTGAAACAAAATAAAACATGCATTCATGGGAGCATTGCCATTCAAGTGCACACATTTCCCAGTTAAAATGAAGGTCAGTCATAAATTACATCTCTGATTCCCTCAGGATTTCTCTTTCTTGCTCTGTTTTGGCAGTTTAAGACCCCTTTGATATTTGAGCAAGGCCTTTCCCTTTGCACATCTGATCTTGATTATGGTTTATGGCAATGGTAATTCGTTACCTCCCCAAGGCAGCAGTTCTGAGAAGGAGAGTACAGTATGATTGTTTAGGAGAGAGGCACACTGTACACTGTTCTAACCATTTCTCCATTTTATAGCTGTGTCTCTTCCCCACAGATTGCCCTTGCACACAGCAACACCATGAGCTCCTCCCATGGGAATGCCCCACATCCATCAGAGAAATCACTGTATTTCTGGAGGCACAAAAAATCAGGTTGCATACCTACCAATCAAAACAGTGACTTCTGAGCAATAAAGTTGTGGTTTGGATACATTTTTAGATGGTGTTTTGTGGTGAACACAGACTAATGAGGTATCAACAAGCACCGAAGTTCTTCCAGCTGTAAAGGTCTCAGGGGTTGCCCTTCCCACCTCTCTTGTTTTACAAAATGAAGAGGAATGTTCTTGCTTAGTTTTTGGAATGCAAGTCTATGAAAGAGGGGTATATTTCTTCATGGATCAACTTTGTGGCAGCCAAAAATACACTGAGGCTTTGCATGAGGGAAGGGGATGAATGAAACTGGAGTTTGCACTGCTGTTCTGTGTATGCAAAATACAGAGGCAAATGCTCCAGTTTAAAGAGTATTGAGAGCATTTGAGACGACATGAAGGTAGCAGAACATGTTGGATGCTTATGTACTTTTTCCTGTGGGTGATATGAAGCATTTTGAGGTGATTACAATTGCAGTAAGATTTTTCATGTCAGTTTTTAACATACACTTCATTCTTTTATTGCTTTCACTTCCCTGGCTTGGTACTACTGGCAGTTCCTTGGGTTCATTGAGGATTTTCAGAGTTAGCAATGTGAGAGGCCATTGTACATGCCTTTAGCACCATCAAAATGCTCCTGGATAAAATACACTCTTATAGACTTGGGGGATGATTACAAAATTACTTAATTGCCCTTCAGGCACTATAAATACCACCCTGTTAGTGAAGACAAGTGATAGGCACATTTCTTTCATAAAAGGTGACTGCAAATACTGCACTGGCAAGTGCAGGCAGCTGGCAAGTTTTGCAAGCTTGGTCCTGGTGCCTGGTAGAAACATAACAGGCAGAATTGTTAACGATATTTTATTTTTTGTTTGCTCATGTAATAAATTTTTAAAAGATTAAATGTGTTTTTAAATAGGCCCATGTACATTTTAAATGGGACTTCTGAAGTGCAGCAGGACTTCCCAGGGACACACTGTATCTTGCCATGAAGATACCAAGGAAATGTGATGAACAACAGATATTCAGAACATTTTCCCTGGAAGAAGGAAATTTCCTAACTCATCATACATAAGCCTTTCTTAGAAGTAATGCAAAACTTCCACAGAGCAGGAGAGGAACAAAGCCCTACCAGCTCTTGCTGTTCCAGTGACACAGCAAACTGGCTTGAGGAGTCCTTTAGAAGCCAAAACTCACACTAGTTAACACTAAGGAAGGATCCCTCTCCTCTAATTACTTTAATTAGGCTTCTAATATTAACTTGGAACATACAACTTGTGAAGAATATCACATGAAGGAAGAAAGTGTTTATTGCATGTGTTTGTCCATTTTCACTGATATTAAAGGTCAAAGAGATGGGGGCCCTCCATTCCGAGCTGGCAGGGAGGCCCCGCACTGCACTGCCAGCAGCTGGGTGGGTGCCCAGCCTCCCGTGGGGAACACTGTATTAGGAAAGCTCTCCTTCACTGTGCCACTCTCTCATAAATCAGCCTAATTACTTTAATGAGGAGAGCTGCATCCCTCTGCTGCAAGCCCTGCTGGTTTACAGAGAGGGGGAAGTAAATAAAAAGGAACAATGTTGGCTGCTGCTGCAGAAGGGACACAGGGAGGGAGAACAATAGTTTTGAGTCTCCTCCCTGCCACCACTCCGTTAGGAAAGGAGATGGCTTTGTGCACACCCCTGGAATTATTCCAGATCAGGACTGAAATCAGACGCGGGGCTTGGCAGCATCTGCTGAAGGAAAAAGCACAGAGAACAGAGGATAGAGGTATGTTATTTTGCAGGCTCTGAGAGAATGTTGCCACGGAAAGAAAAAGGATGGGATACAAGGCTTGCAACGTCTGTCTGAGCAACCAACACGCTATAAATATTGACCTGAGCTCTAATAACAGGATCAAGTCTTTACACCTTTAGATTTTTTTTAGAATAAAGGCAGATTTTACTTTTTGTCTCTTAAAAATACGTGTTTTTGCTCTTCTTGCTTTGTATATTAGCATTTTTTTTTCAATTGCAGAAATTAGAAACTTGTTTTTGAGTAATGAAATCTTAGATTATTTACTACATGAATCTTGGAGCTGAGGGTTTAAGCAAACCACAAAGATCCCCATGAAAACAGGAGAGCCAAAATTATGTGCAGCCCTACTCACTGTTGTCTATATTTCTGTCATGTTTCCTCTATTGTCTCCTCTTTATGATGACTGAAACAAATCATTCAGGTCTAGATTGCATATTATGACACCCACAAAGCCTCCTTGCTATTGTTTGGGTCAAATTAAAAGCAAAAATAATTGTGGAATGGCATAAAAATTCATGTTTATTTTGCCAAGCTTTCAATTATTTCTATTGTGATAAATTTTCCATGTTAGATACAAAATGTATATGTTTTAACAAAAAAAAATATTAAAATTATACAATTTGGGCAGTTTTTCTGATGTTCTCCTCTTGGAAAAATTCCTCTGGATGTTGTCAGTTGCTTATTCTCTCTTGATCAGAGTTCGTTTTATTAAAATATCTTCATCCTGCCCTTTATACAGCATACTTACTTCTATCTTTAGCTTCAGTCTGATAAATTGTTCCATTCCTAAATCACATCCTCAGTCTTCAGCTAGATGTTGTGATCATAGTTTTGGCCTTTCAAGACTCCAAAGCAAGCTCTGCAAGTACTACAAACCCCTTCTGTTCAGTCATCTTCCCATTTACCTTTCCTGCATTCACCTGCAGTAAATAAATACATTGCGATGCAAGGAGATCCCTTGGAGCCTTTTTCAGCCCAGAAATTGCTTGTTCCTCTAAGATTCCTGATTCTGGGAAGCATCATGTCAGGTTGATAGTTCTTCTGGCAGAAGACAGGCCATGTATTGATGCTGCATGCTCTCCCTCCCTGGAGTCAGCAGTCCCTCCTTCCCCTGCCATCCCACATGGCTTCCAGCTTTTGCTTGCCTGGAAGCTCCAGAATTCTGTCTCCAAACCACACCTTGTCCCCTGACACCCGCAGATCACACTGAGGCTGGACTAGAAGGGGCTTCCTTGGCAGTTCTGAGAAATGGCTGTGGAAAGCTGGGTGTAGTTGCTAAAGGTACTAAGAGAGGAATTTAAGAACACTTTACAGAAAGCCAGTTATGTCCTACAGCCACAGATTATGGGTGCCTTTCTTAGAGCCGTCACTGCATCTGACTTTACTGAAGTGTAACACAGCGTGAAATTTTTAACAACGGGACTTTGACTGTGACCAGCTTCAGGCACTGAAAAAGATACACATCAGGCCAAGCACGAAGTGTGAGACTGCTGTTAAATCATGAAAAATATTTAGAATTATTTATATTGGCATTTCTGAGCCTTTCTACTTGCTTTTGCACTTTCAGCCTTTTCTTTACAAGAAACAGAAATGTAACTTCAGAGGGTAGGGGGAAGAAAGACAAAGAAAATGCCCTGTTTTCAGGAGCTAGGCCTTTGAGAAATGCATGCAGAATCCTGAATCTTAAAAAGCAGAGCAACAGCAAGCAGAGCACAAGACCCACTAATTTTTAGTGAGTCTTGTGGCATAAAATCCTTGGGCACCTATTAAATACTAATTAATATCTCAAAACTCATTCCAGAATTTTAAAGTATTTTTTGTTACCTTCTTTGCTCTTATACAGGCCACAGCACAAGAATCCAAAGTTTACATTTTGAAATCAAATAACACTGCACAACTACTTTAGTTAGTTTAAGAGGATTTGTGCTCCTGCTAATGAGATTTTTTTAACTTCAAGTTACATCATAGCTTCCCAATGTAAGAATCCCAGTGCAGTAGATATATAGCATCAAGTATCTCAGGCACCTACTATTTATTTAAAAGACACTTGTGGCACTTAGGGACATGGTTTAGTGATGGGCTTGGCAGTTCTGGGTTAATGGTTCTTAATGGGAAGTTCTTTCCAATGTAAATGGTTCTATAGTTTTTGATACCTCTTTAGAACTTTTGGCTGTGCTCTCTCACCACACAAGCAGATGCAGAAGTTATTTTACACAAAGGCAAGTTCCATGTAAGGCAATATGCAAGTTTTAATTTAAATTTGCAAAGTCAAGTTATACTTCCCGATGTTTGGCTGCTTCTGAATTTGCCAACACCTGAAACTATAAAATACTTATCAGCTACTGCAAGTTCAAAGTCATCTTAATGTCTGAGAACCAAGCCCCACTCCAGCTATATGTGTGGTAACATATGTAGTAATACATGGCATAGTAAGCAATGGAAAAAAACTTTTACTTAAGAGTTATAGGTAAATTTAATACCTATCTAAGTAACAACATACTTATATAAGTAATATATAATATGTCTATATACTGTACATACAATATAAGTAACAATGTATACTGCTTTATTAAGTTTATCTAAAATAAGAAAAGGAATATTAGACTGAACAGATCTGAGACCAAAAATCCATGTTTTGGACAAGCAATACTTGCATCCAAGAAACTGCACATAGGAGTGAAGTCACGTAAGTATAAAAGGTCTGCAATGACAAGCAAACACAACATTTTGTTGTTTCCCTTTTCCTTGCAATGGCTGCTTGCTTTTAGAATTTGAATTATGAAAATTTTTTGAAGAAAAAAGTAAATAAAGCTCCCATGGAGCGGCTTTAACTGTCTCCTATGTGAAACTAGCTTTTCTTGAAGCAAATTATCCCATTTATTATTATTCAAAAGAAAATTCTTGTCTTACTTAGCCCAGTAATGATGTAGGACGGAGCAAGTTAAAAGAAAGAAAAGCCCTCTCACTTGCTACTCTTGGAGGCAACCCCGTTTGATTCAGACCACGGCCGGCAGTTTTGTCCTTTTGTGCTTTTCCTTGTCTTTGATGGAGGCCAATACAAGATACTGCCCTACCCCAGGTTTTTTCACTGCATTATCAAAAGTTTGCTCTTTCTTTGTCGGAAATGAAATGATGCATTCTAATAAAACATCATCTGATCTGGAGGAGCCACTCAGTCACCAAGACTTTGATATCAGTAAATAAAAATGCAAACCTTTATGCAAACCAGCAGGACTTTAGCCAGAGTGAAAATAACTGAGTTACTGTCCTTGTTCAAAAACTATTTGCGTTCACTCATCCCAGACAGAGGAAAATCCAATTGTTCCCTAAAACATTGTAAAAATCTGTGCAGACACTGTTGGTACCCAGAGACTTCACAGCATGCAGACTTTTAATTGCCTCTCCTTCCCCTCTGCACAAAAAGGCATCTGCAATGTTTATCTCTAGCACATCTTAGTTGGGAATAGATTAGGCTGTAAAATAGAGTAGGATTGCAAAGAAAATTGCTGAATACATGCAATGCCTTGAAGTAAGTTTTTCCGAGTAGCATTACTGTGCCATACTCCACTCTGTCTTAGCATGTATTTATTAATCTGCAATACGGGTCACACTCAGAGCTTTGAAGAAGACACAGGTGACCTATAACAGCTTCCTCAATGAGATCATTATCTGCAAGATTCAGCACTCTACTCCTTTTCCCAATTTTTTCTCAAACACAGAGCAAACATTTCTGGAACAAACTCACATCACTCTGGACACAGCCTTAATACTAATTAAATTACAGCATCTCATACAGACCTTTTTCTGCAGAAGATTATATTATTTATCCTCGATGACAGACAAAATAAACTTCTGTTCTTTAATCTCCATAGCATATCAGGAAAATTCCCATCCATCCATTGCTTTGACCTACACCCTTTTTTTGAATGAAATTTTTTTGAAGTTAATGAAACTCAGATCAGGTGATTGTTATTTCTCTGGAATATAATATTATCACCCCATCCAACCATAACTTTTGGGGAACTATCAAATTGAATGTAATCTCTTTATCTTGCAATTTTTCCAAGTGTGCCAGAACATGTCTGGACAGTATCAAGATGCTGAAAGCATCTCTGATCCACCACATGTCAGAAGAGAAGCATGTTTCTGGTCAGCAGCTTGGGATAACTAAAAACATGGTAAGCAAGGAGCTGGGAAATAGAGGCAACAAAAGCTGTAGCAGGAGAAAGATGAGGATGGTGCTACAAATGATGGCTTATGTGGAAGCAAGACTGTGAAGACTACTGAAAAAACAGCGTACACAACCTCATGCAAGTTGTTAATGTCCAACTTGTTTAAATTGTATTTTCTAATGGCAGATAATACTGAAGTATTAGAGAGCTTTCTACCAAGAACTCTCTATACTTATGAAAATGCTGAGTATACTTATATATACATTTTAATGTATGAGTATGTATATATATGTATACATGAATATACGAATACTGCTGTCAGGTGCCATCTGTCCTAGGTTAAAGTAGTTCTTAATCCAAATTCATACATTCTTTTCACTATAGAGGAGCCCCATCCATCCAGATATCTAAGAGTTCTTCACTGCCATACTACTTCCATCCATTAGCCCAAAAAACAAGCTGTGGTGGAATATGGCTGCCTCACAACCTGCTGCTGTTATATGTGCTTTGTATGCTGTTACAGATGAACTAGAATTCAGACCTCCCACTACTTTTAAGCATCAAGGAGCCTCCATGCCTAAAAAACCTGGTGGTCTTACATGGACTAGGATAAGTAATAAGCAACCTGATAAAACAATAGGATCTATAAAGGCAAGGTATCTGAAAAAGGTTAGGCTTTTAAAGGTAATTAATTAGCAACTAGCATTAAAAGTTCTTTCTGTTCCTGGGCCCCACCTCCTACAGTCAGGTCCCAAAGGACCAGCTTGGAAAGAGCAGGCCTGGGAAGTGAGAGCAGCTGCTCAGGAGTTGGGATACCTTGTCATACGGGGTCTATCAAAGGAGAAAGGAGTAACACATTTAAACATCATCATCATGCTGCATGCAATGTGGAGGAAGCAACAGCAAAGAAGTGTGCCTCTATCTATCCCTTCCCCCAACACACAGGTTGAGAATGCATAATCCTGTCTGTTTATGTCAAAACACCAAACAAGACATGAATCTCTGGGAACCAGTCCAAGTCAGAGCATTCAACTGAAGCTGAAAAAGCAAAGCCTCCATTCCCAGATATGTCCCTTATTTGGGGCAGATTACTACTGAGTGTTACTGTCAATCAAGGGGATAAAGATATTAACGTTCTCTGTAAGGTACTATGTGATCAGTTCATTGGAAGCACTTGTTTATATATCCTATATAAATATATATTTATATATGCATCATTTTTAAACACTTTTAAAAACAAAACCAGCATGGCATAAAACTGAATCTTGTTTCAGTTAAATTGTTGTACAGGTAGTTTCCTTGTAACATTCTCAAAGAAAACATTCTACATGCACACCATGAATGTGTATGGCAGAGTGCCATGGGAGGCCTCAGTGGAATACTTCATTAAAAAACAAACAAACAGAAAACCGAAAGCACATTCCAAAATGAGCAAGCAATACTTCGTGCAAATAATTTAAACTAAGAGGAGCCACAAAGTTTGCAACTTGACTGAAGGATTAAGACTGCATTTGACTTGTACTACACAGTGAATACCAACAACTTAAAGGCTTGTGGGCTTCAGTGGAACTTGGGCATCCGTATTTTTGCTCACAGGTACTTGAACAACCTGAATCTAAAGCAAGAACACTTTAGGCTTCAGAGAAAAAACACTAAACAGTACAGGATTTTAAATAAATATCCTTCTTATGGGGTTATAATTCCCTGAGTTTAAAGAACAGGAAGAGGTCACACTTTTCTAACAAGTCAAGTGACTCCAGAGTGCATCAGATTTCCTAAGTGTGTGCACAGGGCCAACTGCTTCTTGGCAGGGTAAACCAACCCTCACTGAGCCCAGTTCTGCAGCAGCTATGCTGCTTCCAGCTGCACCTGAGAGCCTGTGTTTAAAGATAACCTGGCTGCAATCAGGTATCACATTCCTTGTGACTGACAGCATGGATTGGGTTTTCCTTTTTTCAGCTTGCTTCAGTGACCCTTACAACAGAGAATTATGACCATTCTAAAAAGTTCATTTGAATTGTCTCACATCACTTTACCATGGACAAGGATAACAAGGATGCTTCTTTCTTTCCAGATGGCGGCCTCTACTAAAAAGGCAGCTCATCTTTCACCCCACATTCCCTGCAACAGAGTATCCATTCCACTCATGCTAGCAACAATACTTAAGGAAAAATCAGTATTCTACAGCAAAGAGCATCTTGGGTTCATGAGTTACAGCAATTAATCTCACAACAAGGCAGTGAGCAGCACAAACGTCTAGCAGGATTTCTATTACTGAACAACTGCAAAAATATAAGAATTACTGCCAATTTTTTGTTTTAAACACCTGACAGTGTATGATTCAGCCCTGAATACTAACTATATTAAAAAAAAACTTCAAAAAACAAACTCTCATGCTGATATTCAACTTAAAGTGCTCTTTCTGTGCAAGGAAGAAGGTTTTTAAAAAGTGTAAGCTTGCAGAATATGAAGAGGATTTTGTGTCAGGAATTGACAGACATGCCTGATCAGAATCAGTATCCAAGTTGTATCAACTTGTTAATAATCATACAACAACAACAAATAGTACTTTAAAAGCCTTTAGGAAATATGATACTTTTTATTACAGTCAACTAAATTAATTATATAGTTAAAAAAAAAAAGTAAATTACAAATCTGTCATAGACTATGATGTAAATAATTTCCTAGAAGTGCTCCCATATGTCCCATATCAATGGAAAACCTCAAGCCAATTATGGGAGCTCTGACTGAAGCAAGAGAACCTACGCATATGAAGCTCAAAAAATAACACCTGTGAAGATTTAACTTTAAAATGGTCTGTGACCAGTCTATTAGGTTTTGTAATTTCAAACATATTTCCAAGTAGGTATTAAAAATTGTTCAGCCTCTCTGTTTCATAATCTCTAACACTCCTGTGGTCTTGATTTAGGCTGACTAGGGAGCTGCATGTCTACTTCACACAAGATAGTAAACAAGAATACCCAACAGTGTTCTAAATCCTTCAGGACCAAGTACATGCACTCTCTACACAACTGCTGCTAAGGCTGAGAGAAGCCACCTCATGAAACTTCACAGGCCCTGATCACAGTGAGGTGTGAGAGAAACAAGCTCCCATCAAAGTCAGTGGAATCATGATCAATCCCACCTCCAGAGCATGATTGCCAGGACTTTTTTCAAATGCCTTTTTCTGAACATGATCTCTGTCTGTATGTGCTTGTTTTCCTCTAATATGGATGAATCCTAGATGAGAATGAATTCCAAAAGTAACATTTTCCCATTTGTGACATTCAGATTAGGCATACTTACACATATTATCAGCTTTGCATTGGGTCACAAACAACAGGTACACAATAATCAAAATGCATGTATTTTACACTGTTAATTTTCCATTGTGCTGCTAAATAAAATACCGAAGTTTGTACTATAATTTGCTAATTTTCTGTTGTAATTACTGCAGCATATCCACAGTCTTGCACAAATAGACAAAAACCCCTGCAAATTGTTCCACCTCACAAGATCTCAGTGAAACTACTTTTGAAACCACTACAAAATGAAAGTCTTCTACTAGCCCCAATTCTAACACTATTTTTGTAAATACAGACTACAACACTGAACTACTTTTCCCACAAACTCCACAAGATAGAGCTATGAATGACCATATAGCTCCCTGTTCTGCAACCCTGAACCTCTCCATGTTTTATCAACACCTAACATGCAAGTAGCTGGGTTTTACAGCTTGAACCAAAACTCACAGCTTAGTGAACCAAACTTCATCTGAAACCAACTGAGGCAGACAACCATCAACGACTACCCTGGAACATCTATTAATAGACATAGTTAAGGGACAGAGAACAAAAAAACTATCCCAAGTTTAAAAAAGGCATAGAACAGACACCCAAGAAGTGGCCATGGTGCCTAACTCCTGCCCAGTAAAGCAAGAGACATTGATAAAGCAACTGGTTCACAAATTAAATCAAAGGCTAGTCTGTCCTTCACCCAAAAGAGAAGAAAGACAATATTTACATCTATATTTAAACATACACATACATTAAAGCTAAAAGAGCACTCTGATTTTAGGAAAACTTGCCAATTCATCTGTAAAGAAAATGACCAACACACACACAAATAAATCAACACTGAAGTATTTATTAATACTTCTTTGCTCATTCCTGAAAAGGAAGAAATTTTAAAAACTGAAATAAATTATAAAAAATAACTGTTTTGTCTACTTCTTGCATCAAACCCCAAGAATCTAGGGTCTACTCAAAGTTAAGGCAACTGCCACAAGCTACACCTTATCACTCAAATCACTCCTAAGAAGCAAAATCATCTAAGGAGCAGTAGATATTGGTCTTCTGCACAAGACTCATCTGTCTGAGGAATTAACTGTAGACATTTGATCCTTTGGCTAACAAACTTCTGAATGTTCTTGTTATAGAATTACCAGTACCTTGCTCCAGTTTAGCTTAATCCACTTAATCAATTTGGAGTGGAACACACTTGTACCCCAAGACTTAGATGGGACTGATTCTCAAAAACAACAATCCAAGATCCAGCCACCTGGGTTTAGACTAAAGCTTGCTTCATTGTTTGAATGGACAATTCATTGGGTATTTGAAGATGTCTAGTCTTCTGCCTGGTCTGAAGAATTCCTAGTCCAAGGAAACAAATCTCTTGCATTCACCAACAGCCAAAGACCTGCCAATCCTCTGCCTAAACTCTCAAAGGTCAATCTGACGTACACAGTACGTCAAGTACACACAGAATTTCAGGTTCTTTATAAAACCCAAGCAGTTCACTGAGGTCTGTTCATAGGAGAGCAATGAGGACAGGAAAGAACAGCACTGCATCCTATGTGAGCCTGCAGCATGCTTACCTAACAGGAAGAAATAAAAGACAGAAAAACAAAACACAGGTTGCCTCTTTTGCTGACTATCAGTGGGCTTAAAGGAAGGGGGGAAAAGTCCAGAGTTCAGATGAAGCTCAGATGATTTCTAAAATTTGATTTATTGGGTAGCATGAACTGTAGGCAGTAGCTCAGTACAGGTAGACTTAGAGCAGACGGAAAAAAGGAGAAACTCCACCTCCCTATCATACCACCTCATGCCCCAGTCTTCCTGAACCATCCATACCTTCTCTTTATTTCCTACCCTTAATATTAGGGCGAGCCCCCAGTCCAGTCCCATTTCTGTAAGGTGATTAACAGAAACTTTATGTGGGAGGTACCTGAACTGCAGGGTAAGCACCTCTGGAAAGAGACAGTAATGGGGTGTGAATGGCTGCTGGCATAAACACTTCACCCAGTGGTTCCTACACTCACTTCCACACCGAAAATTACTTCTACTTCAACATACCACCCACAAGCAGTTTCTTTGATAACTGCCAAATTCTCTTCAGTTTACTTGCAAGGAGTCAACAGTCAAGTGTTTTGAAAAAACTGTTGATCACTAGTGTTTTAAGTGCTAGGCACATTTTCAAGAAGCATTGCTATAAAAGCAGGGAATCATCAGATCTCTTCCAGTTATGTTCTGTTATTTGGAAATCAGGCAAAGGTGCCTTTACATAAATTCAGGACTTTAAACCAATGCTCTAGATGCATTTCACTAAATCTCTGAATCAGGGACAGGTAGGAGTTTCAAAAGCTGTGTCTTCTCACACACTAAATAAGATACAGAACACACAACACAGCAGTTTTGATTAGGAACCCAACTTTTGTCAGTAAGGCTCCTAAACTGTAAGCACTTTGGGTCAAACCCAGAGAGTTGTAAAAATTCAATATAAAAATTAAGTTAGGAATAAGTAGATACTTTAAACTTATGACCTGCCTTGTTCCAGGTAGTCTTTTTGTTTCAGGCTATTCCTGCAGAGCTGCTGCCATCTGCATATTATCATTTCTCTTCCAGCAATCCTTTGGACCAACTCAGTCTGCATGTTTTCTGAACAAAGTGAAGTTGTTTAACAAAAGCTATTCATGTCAAGATTTATAGTGTCTGAAAAAGCAGTGAAAAAGGTTACCACTTCAATAAAAGGGTTGATCTGGGTCAATACAGAATATAATGCTAAACACTCTTTTTGAGTAGCAATTCTACAGGCGCACAATGACTGCCACACTTAGGAGTTATTCCAAAAACAGGCAATCCCTAGAGATATATTATGTCTCTCCCCTTTTAAATGTGAATTTAAATGGAAATTTTAGACTGGGGTCACTGAATGAAATTCTAGCAACATTTCAACTTTTTATTTGAATGTTGGGAGGCCCCAGTATATGCAAAAGTACTAGACAACAGTTACATTTTTCCCTTAGTTTTGTAAAAAAAAAAATTGAAGCATCTCCAGTTACTTAGTTACCTACAACTAGACATAATAATGGCTGTGAAGTAGATTTATTTAAAGACTTATAAGGCTTCTCTTAAAGCTTCTTTAGTTTTGTCAGCTTCAGTAGAACAGGCATTATTTAAGATTACTCTAAGGCAAACAAACCTGTAATTATTGTGTGAGACCAATACTAGAAATTAACTGTACAGTTCTCTGTAAGTGAGCTTTCTGTGATATAAATTGTTTTTCACAATTTTGAGTTCCAGTGCAGCAGTTTACATTTGCAACTCGAAAGTTCTTGCTCTCTTTTCCTGAGTCTTCCTATTTTGCTGTACATCAGTTACTACTACCATTCTAAGGGCAGTCAGAATGTCATGAAGTGTCCATATAAATCACTTTTTTGCTACTAAAAATTCACTTCAACATAAACAAGGTGGTCCTGAGTGCTGCAGTACTTCAACAGCAATACCCCTGAGATGATGTAATTTTATCACCTCTGCATTACCCACTGGGAATTCCCCAGAGGGAAGCCCCTGGAAGTGCATACAAGTGAACTTCGATTAGCTCATTCACACTCATCCCTGATATAGCCTGGCAACCAGAAGAACACAAAATTTACTCCCTGTTATTGATTAAGAGCTATTACCAAAACTATTCACATCTCCATTCCCTCTATATGTGCACCTGAGAGACACACCACTATCAAGTAAGGAGATTTCAATTACACTTCTTTCCTTTTAATTAATTGGTATTGAATGAAGATTTTACTACAAGACACAGCTTAAAGTTACTGTTGTAACACGCATAAGTGGGACAAAATGCACGTGTACATACACACACGCTGCTGAGATTTCTGCTGAACAAAGAAGTTCAGCAGAAACAGAAAACAGCAGTACATTGAAATTTATGCCATGCTGTTATATCTAAACTAAGTTCTTTTAATGTCCTCTGTAAGAATGGCTGATAGCTGCAACCCACTTCTCAATTTTCTTCTTTCACCTTTCATTTGTACTTCTTTCACATAATTTAAGGATGTTCATTATTCTCCACAATCTTATTACAATTATTTAATAGATCAGTATAGAGCTAAAAGGCACTAAAAAGGCTTCCAGAAATTCTATTATTGGCTTTTAGCCAGGATTATCTTCCTACCTCTGTAATTTTAACTGGACCCCACTTGTTTTTCAGGACTTCTAGTTGCTACTGACACGTTTTTCTTACCCCCAAGTGAATTACTGGTCCAAGTGTTCATGGTGTAGCTGTCTGTGCACATGCATCAAACCTGACTTTCACTGCAGCACATCTCCTTTCTAAGAAATGCTTTGAAGAATAGCTTCGGAATATGCATGAACCACATACAGTGTTAAATTTTAAGCCACCATGCCCTGCATTACTCCAGAGTTCTCACCTTATCCCTCTATTATTCAAGTAGGTGATTATTGTAAACGGGACTGTCTTTGTGCATGCATCAGACAGAACTCCGAGCTCCTAGAGGAAGTTAAACATCTCATTTCTACTTGGTCCCAATAGCAAAGCCTAAGCATTTGTAAAGTGAAATGAAGTAGTAGCTGATTGACTTGCATCCAACTAGTTTTCAAAGAATAATTTACCACGACCCATCTGAAGTCACGCAGTAAAACATGCCTTTTTTCTAAGCCTTGAAGCATCATGATGTCAAAACTGACAGTCTCCTATCTGCCTCAACTACCTATTCGCTAATTTTTGTAGTGTTCAATTAAATAGATTTTTTAAAACAAAACAGCAACTTTATTTCATCTATTTTCTAGTGCATTTGAAAATAATAAAACATACAGAAACACTGGAAGAAAATCTCTCTCTGCTTATACTGTGGCTATAAGGTCCCGTGGCTGACCACGTTTCTCACCTAGTGAAATTTTAGCACTGCAGAGTCCAAACATTTGACTGTTTCACGTTACATTGGTTTTCAGATCTGGTGAATGCTTTAAGGTCCCCACTTCCTTCTTCAGGACATTAAGTAAAGTTCTAGAGCTATCCAAAATCTTCATGTAAGCAGCTTCAGTTTCAGCAAGTATTTTATCAAGCTCATTCCGTGAAGCCACCTTTTGGGCCAGGTTTTCACATACACACTCCAGCTGTTCACTGAGGACTTGGATTTCATGCTGGAGTTTATTCTTTTCCTCTTCTGCTTGCTGGATTTGTTTGTTCAGTTCTTCTTTTTGCATACATAAATCTTCAATGCATTTCACTAGTTCATTATTGTAACCCTGAAGAACAGCTCCCTGCTGAGTCATCCTGCACTCACTCCCTGAAGTCCCCTTTCAGCAACGGCCTTCTGCACTCCAATTAAAGGAAAACAAACAAAGAAACAGAAAAAAATCTGTAAGAGTGTCGCCATGAATAATGCCTCACTAGCACAGGTGGAGCCACGGGGCAAGGTTCTCTGTTTAAGATTAACATGTCCACTCTGAGATGTGCCACATCTCTTCCCTTTCCAGGAGGGAGACAGGACAAAATTTGGCATATGTTCTTAAACCTTTACTGAAAACTGCCGACTCCTATGCCACTGTCACGGCAATGGTATCAAAGTATTTATTATATGTTTTATAGTACCTTTGTAGAATCTTGAATATAGGATGCTTTGTACCTCAAACTTCGAGGGCCTGGTCAGAAATAAGCAAAAAATTACAGAATCACATAATGGTTAGGGTTGGAAGGGACTTCTGGAGATCATCCAGTCCAACCCCCTGGCAAAGACAGAGTCACCTGGAGCATCCAAGTGGGTTTTGAATGTCTCCGCAGAGGGAGAATCCACGCCATTCCCGGCCAGCCTATTTCAGTGCTCTTCCACCCTCAACTCGAGGAAGTTCTTCCTCATGCTGAGGTGAAACTTCTTGTGTTTTAGTTTACGGCCATCACTCCTTGTCCTGTCACCGGGCACCACCCTGAGGGGCTCAGGAGGCACTGACAACAGCAGGGAATCTTCCCGACACAGTGAGCGCCCCGAGCTCCCCGAACACTGGGGCGACCCGGAACGCGTGTGCACGGCCACGACGAGCCCCTCGCCCGCCGCTCACACCCCCCAGAGACACACCGGGGATAAGGCCCGACCCGCGCGGCCGCCGTCCCAGGGACATTTTAACACCCTCCTCGCCGCCGAGCGCGGCCCCGCGGAACACGCGCCGCGCACAAAATGGCTCCTGCCTGTACATCGAGTGCCCGGGCGGAAGGGGAGGAGGGGGTAGGTAAGAGGAGACATTCCCATTCCTATCTCCCCCCCGCAATTCCCCTTGTTGCCCCCACCTGCCTGGCAGGATCGCGATTCCTCCCCACCGGGAGAGCGGCTCTGCCACCGAGGCCGCGCTGCCCTCGGCTAACCGCCCGCCAACGACCGCGCTGGCCCGTGAGGGGTCACGGAAACACCCGAACGCTTCCGAACGCGGCGCCGCCCTGACGGCCGCGCGGAACGTCTCTCCGGAAAAGCGCGATGTTTTCCGAAGACAGGTAGTGCTCGGGAGAGTGGGCCGAGGCGGGAGGGGAAGGGAGGGCCGAGCGTTACGGAAGGAGACGATGTTTGCCGAAGGGAGGGACTGAAGGGCGTTGTGCTCGGCGGAGGCAGCCGATGTTTGCCGAAGGGAGGGACTGAGGGGCGTCGGGCTCGGCGGAGGCAGCCGATGTTTACCGAAGGCAGAGTCGCCCGGGAGCAAAGGGGACAGAGGGGACGGAGCGCGTCGGAAAGAGCCGGAAAGAGCCGACGTTGACCGAGCGCGGCGTCGCCCGAGTTCCCCGGATGTAGTTGGAGCGGCGGCGGCGGGCGCGGCGGGGGGAGGCGGTGGCCGAGTCGGTGCTCCCGGTGTGTCTCAGCGCGCGCGGGGCCGAGCTGCCGGCGTCTCCCCTCTCGAGGCGATGGGCCCGTGAGCGCCGCTCCAGCCGAGCTGCCCGAGCCGCCCCCTTCCCCCGCCCCTGCCCCCGGAGCGCTGCCGCCCCCGCCTCCCCCCTCGGCGCCTGTGGCCCGGCTGCGGCCGTGCCCTCCTGGTCCCCTCACCCTCACACACACAGGCCGGGCATTGATGGTAATGTATGCGAGGAAACAGCAGAGACTCAGTGATGGGTAAATTCACCCCCCCGGCCCCGCGGGGCCGCCCCCCCCTCCCTCCGCCATGTTCGGCCCGGCCGCGGGGCCGGTAACGGGCGCTCGCTAACGCCTCTCTCTCTTTCTCTCGCTCTCTCCTCAGCTGTCACGACCGCAGGGGGGACTCGCAGCCCTACCAGGTACCGCCGAGCGGGGAGGAGGAGCAGGGGAGGCGGGGGGGTGCTACTCCAGCGGAGGCTCCGGCGGCCGCCGCAGGCCGCGGTGCCGCGGCCGCCCCGGTCCGGCCCCTGGCGGCGCTCTGGGCCCGGGGCCGCGGGGCGGAGAGGCGGCGGCGGCCCTGGCGCAGGGAACGGGGCCCCGGTGCTCGGCCGAGGCCTACAGAGCCGGGGCGAGCAGGAGAGGCCTAGTGCGACCCGTGCGGGTCTCGGGCCTGGGAGTCGGGTAGGGTGCGAGGGGCGGGAGAGGGAGCCGAGGTCACCTACGGTAGAGTGGAGACCCAGGAGACGTGAATGTTTTTCTTCTAAAAACAAAAGGAGTCTTGTTCTTCCACCCCCTTCCTAAAGTCCTTTTTTCTCCCCAAAACTGGTGCTGCGGGCTGTAACCCGAGCAGGGCACGGATTTAGACCCTGACCAACTTGGGGTTGCAAGCGAGGCTTAATTTCTGCAGTTACCACTTGCTAGGCATGTTCAGAAACTATCAGATCCTTGAATTACTGACAGTAGTCTCAGTTTCTGTAAGGTGGGTACTGCACTTCTTTGCTGTGTCTGCTGAAAAAACCCAGTTGTTGAGGTTTGAGTCTGTGGAAAGCTGTATGTTGTGATATTGCTCTCTGTAGGCCCTGAATTGAACTGTTTTACTGCATTTTGGTACATTTGAATCACTAAAGTGCAGTATGGCAGTCAAAGGCAGCTGTCAGTGACAGTTTACATAAATATAAACACTTGCCATTCAGGAGTTAAGACTGCAAAACCAAGCAGGTCAAACTGAGGCAGAACATGTTAATTTTGGTAAAGACTCCAAAATTAATTATTGCATTACATGTTTTGCCCCGCTAGAATTATTTTTTTTACTTACATCTGTTACAGGGATATTAGTACTGAAAAAGTCATCACAGAAGTTCAAGATAATGGTGAAACCAAATGGTCTTGACTAGAGTATGGAGGACATGTTCAAAGTTTACACTTTGTTTTCCTAAGAACAAGTGGAGACTAGTTCTTCTCCCAAAAGTGTGGAAGAACTGTGGCCCACTTACTGCTGAAAGTGTGTAGTCCATCAGTGAAAAGATAGAGAAATGAAGTTCTTTTTAACAGCAGGTGTTGCATTGGATGTAATAGTAGGAGAAAGTGGTTTGAGTTCTAATTACAGAACTTGTTGCTTTAATGTAGGTAATTAAAACTAGGAAGACTAATGCTGATTTTTTTTTAAAATAGGAAATGAAAATTGGTTTACTTTTAAAAGTACATTTGAAAGAAAAGAAAAGAAATGCCAACATTTCATATCTAATGTGAATGCTTATTTTCTTGTGATCTGTTACAGGCTCTTAAGTACTCATCCAAGAGTCACCCCAGTGGTGGTGATCACCGTCATGACAAGATGCGAGACACCACAGATCCTTCACCACCAAATAAAATGCTGCGGCGCTCTGACAGCCCTGAAAACAAATATGGTGACAACACAGGGCACAGTAAAGCAAAAAGTGTGCATACTCACAGAGTTAGAGAGAGGGATGGTGGTGAGTTATCTTTAATAAATTTTTACTTAAGCAGTCATTAATTTCTCACTAAAAGTAGCCATTACCACTCAGGTGATGTCTTACACTAAATGTGACTTGTACTCAGCTAGGGTGACTGCAGTGAACCCAAAATGGGAATTTAATTGGAAGCAATCATTGAGGCATTGTAACACCTATTAATTTTCTGGTTTTTATAGGTATGGTAGTTTTTTTTTTAGCCCCAAAGATTAAATAACCCCTTTTTTTATTATTTTAACTAGTATGTCTCTTTATTTGGGCATACTGCAATGTTTGATAACATGAAATAGTTTTCTGGATTTTTCATTTGCAATAAATATTGGCTGTTTTGGATCCTTTTTAATAACTTTGTGTATTGTGGCGCTGTACTGTGTAGGTACATGCTCCATAGACTAAGCCCCATCAGAAATGAAAAAAGCTTCTTTGTATTAAGCTGCTATGTAGAACTCTTAATAGATGATCAAAGGTAGTATGTATTAGAACCTTTCTTGACAGGAGCTTTAAGAAGTGTGTTCACAGTCAAGTCAGCCTCCTGTGTTTTTACATGTTTGTAAGCACTAGTAATAGCACCAGTATTTTTTAACTGATCTTACTTTGTATTCCTGCTTCCTAGGAAAAGAGTAGAATTTTCCAGGTAATGAACAGTGTTAGGTAATAAACAACAAGGGTCAAGAAAATTGCTGTTACTGTCTAAATTTGGAAAAGTTCTTTTGTTTTGTTAAGTGGTCTTTGTGTTAAGGTACAAGGTGAAGCATTCAGGTGGAGAATTTGGAGCTTTAAATCAGTGCTTCTTTATTCTGTATAAAGCTAACAAATTCTGATATACATACACATTTATTGCTGCACTAGTCTTATTTAGAGTAAAATAGAGGAAGTATTTTTCAAGTACTTTTTTAGGAAATGCTAGTTCCGTACCACAAATGTGTTCATGTTACCCAATTGTTCTTATAAATCCTATTTGTTTTTCCTTATTTGACTTAATGCTGAGGCTCTGTAGACCACTGTTAATGTCATAGAAGTGTGTAGATGGATTATAAAAACATGCTTCTTTTGTTAATACACTGATTTTCATTGTATCTGACAGTAATTGAAACTAGTAATCTCAGAATTAAATGCACATGCAATGCCCATATGCTGCTATTCTGTGCTACTTTTCAGGATACAGAGGTGTCCTCTTTTATTTCCTGTTCAGCTGTCCAAAGATATTAGTCCCACATACTCTTGCAATTCTATATTATGTAGTTTTGCTACAGTCAGTAATGTTTTCTGCTTGAACAGAGCTGCATTTAGTGGAATCATGCATATATGAAAACATCTGGAGGATGAGGCTCTGTGGGGAGTGCATTTGCTTATCTGTTTGTTGGAGGTGTTGTATGATAGGAAAGACATTCAGAACTTCTTACAGGGTCCAGCTGGATTTAATAGCTGGGTAATGGTCTGAAGCATGTATGCATGCAGTCAGGATGAAGGAAAATTAATTATTTGTAGTTTTGTAAATGAAAGGAACCACCATCCCACTGTACCTTCACTGTACCTACTTGTTAAGACAGTGGAAAGTTTCATTTATTCTGATCTGAAAGCAGGTGTTTTCACATCATGTGTTAACAGACTGGAAGAAGGAAGTAGTCTTGCTTCTTCTCAGGCAAATTACTGATTTTAAAAGTTTAAAGGTTGAACATTTGTACTGTTTAATGTAAATAACAGATACATTTTTTGTATGTCATTAATAAGGTTAGTTTGGCTGCTGTTTCACCTTTGTAAAATATATTCAAAACAACCAAAATTATGTTAAATCCTGTATGTAGTAAACCAAAGCTGAGCACATGTGGGTAGAAGGATGTCAATTTGTCCCTGATGTACTGAATATTTCTGTCAGTATGAATTGGAGGTAGGTGTTAAAATATAGGTGAAATGCTGTAGGGTAGTGGACATTTGCATATTGCTAATATGCAAAAGACATAATAAAATTTACCACTTTCTCTGTCAGTTGAATTACACTGAAGGGCTGCTACTGTTGTACTATTCCCTTAGTTTTGCAATTAGAGACATAACAATTGAAAAAAGAAACACATTAAAGAAGCGCTAACATTTTTCATCTAAGCCTTTATATGACCGAAGAGTATTAATTTGCTTTGATACTACTATAATAGCCTGTCTTGTTTTCTTTTTGCATTCTTCATAGAGGAGGAAAGAAGTTGAGTGTTTTGGGTTTTTTTGTAATTGCTGTGCATTATTTTAAAATTGGTGCTGCTCGATTTGAAACTACTACAGGTGTTGCTGTGTCCTGTGATTTAGCTGAACTGAACAAAGCAAATCTCATTAAAACATCTCTAGTATTTATTTTCCTAAATTGAATTGAAGTCTCAAACAAACAATCTCTTCTTCTCTCATACCTCAGAAAACAAAATAGCACAAAAATTCGAAGTATTACTACTGGACATAAAGCTGATTTAACCTGATTTCTTCTTCTCAACTCAGTGTTAAGAAAGAGCTCCCAAACATCTCTTAGTAATTTTAGCTCTGAAGAGAAACAGGAAGATTCAGTGGTGTAGCATGCTGATTCAGTCATGACTAGTTCATGTTTCTGTGGTAAATGTGGAATGTCATTTAAATGTCATTTCAAGATTTAAGTGTACACATTTAAAATACAAGAGCAGGAATTGATTCAAAATTAATCAGTCAAAAATGGTAGAACCAGCTCCTGTTAATATCCTTAGTATGTATATAAAGGCATTTTTTTGTAACAGCTTATTTTTGTAATATGCATGGCAGAATCTTCTGTAGAATTGTAATCCATGGTGAGAAATTCAATTAAGGTTTAAAAATGTGTTACGGGTAAGCCCTCCATACTGATACAGTGCAAACAAAGCATTTTTCAAAGTTGCTTACTGCATGGTTTCTGTGGAAAGAGACTGTGTACAGAGACAG